TTTCAGCCTCTTCCTCTGACGTGCTATAGCACCGGAGCAGCTGTCTTGCAGTTTTGCCACTTCCTCAAGTTTCTGTTTATACAGACGATGGGTGTCCTGGAGGTGAAAAGGGGAATATATAAAGTTGTACATCAGTACATCAGCTTCAGCGGTAGTGGAGAGGTCATAGACAAGAGATGCCTTCCGTAGAAGGAAGAGCAGCTCTGTCTTGTTGAGGTCAGAGTCTTGCACAATTAGCTGTAATCCTGTGTTGTAATCCTGTTCTCCAAATACACAGAAACTGATTCTTTGAGTATAGAGTGCTCCAGTTCATTAAATCAAGCACTTTCTATTCATAATTCAACAGTCAGACCAGTCACTTCTAGTCCAGCAGCAATGGTGGAAAATTGCTAAGTAAATTTACTCACGAACTAAGCTTTTGTACAAGTTTTACCTCGACTTGAGAAAAGGGTTGATCAGATTCTTACCTACTACATTTAAGAGAAAATATTCACAGCTACAACATCAGAGTATGACTTACATAAAATAGTAATGCATTGTTAATATCAATCTAATAATAAAAATAATCAGTGGTAAAAGAAGTATTCTGATCCTTTACGTAAGTAAAAGTAGCCTACTAATACAACAATATAAAATGACTCTGTAAAAGTAAAAGTCCTACATTTAAAATTACTTATTAAAATATCTATTATTATTTTCAGACTGTGCGCTTTTGTCACCCACTGTTGAGCCAGGTTGTGAGACAAAATACATCTGAGGGGTCGTGACATGATTAATGGGGTATGTAAGAAGAAAAAAACAAAGTTCTGCTACACCAATGTCTCTTCATATTTTGGATAACCATCTGAGAAGTTTAAAGAGTTAAGGCTCGTGCAGACTACATGACTTTCAGCGTTGGCCGATGGCTGTGATGTTCACACTGTGACGGGAGTCTTGAAGTGTTTTTGACGTTCACACTACGTGACTGATCGGTGACAGGGGGTCACACACTACACGAGCTGACAAGGACTCTGTCACCCGACGCTGGCCTCCAAACCACGTTTTGTCAAGAAAACATACGTTTTACCAAAGTTGATGGTGAATCGAAAATGTGCTCAACCGTTTTTGGGGTTGAGAAGTTCCACAAGCGCCGCGAGGTTGGCGGTGCCAGTCACGCCCACAGAGCCTGGCCGAAGTTACTCAGACCACTGCAGCAGCAACAACAGAGCTGCGCAGCACATCCTCTCGCTCGTCTCTGTCTCTCTCTCTCATGAACACCACCGCAGCACAAATCTGTCCAACACAACGCTGGCAATGTCGAAGACCCAGCTTTAAAAAAGTTATTAGTAATGAGTAATGGTTTAAAGTACATCAAGGAACATCTGGCTCGTGATGTAGCCTACAGAACATTCTCCACTGAGTTATAGCCTAAAACCTATAAGCACTTTTGAAAAATAAACTACAGATGAAAGGGGACAGTGGCTTTATTGCTCTAATTAGACATTACATTGTTAGTGTACACTTGTGGTTATAGTACTTGCTTTTAATTTGCTTGTATTTTATATAATTCCAAAGCAAAAATCTTAAACAGTTAAAAGTTTTAAAGTTAGTATAAACCAGTGAATTATAGGAGTAGCCTACGCTGTCTTGTCTTCTTCCCTGGTTTTCCCCTGGTGCTGATACTGGTGTTCATTCTGAATAGTAAACCTCGTTCACTTAATGGTAACGTTAACTAGTTAGGCTGTGTGTTGGAGATCAGTAATTCACTTGAAAGATATTTAATTAGTTAAATGGTTTAATTAGAATTAGGGTTAGGGTTAGGGGGTGACAAAAATAATCGTAAATAGTCGACTAATCTAAGTCAAAAGGAAAAAAGATTGGGAACCACTGGTTTGTTATTCTGTATTATTGTATTTCATTAATTAGCCTATAGTAACCAATGTTTTGTATGCATTTGTAACCTGGAAATTAAGTACAGCTGTCAGATAAATGTAGTGCAGTAAAACGTACCATATTACCATCCCTGAATTGTAGTGGAGTTGAAGTTTAAGTAACATAAAATGGAAAATAAAGTATCTCCAGTAAATATTCTTACTTTTGCTGAAATTACAATGTACTTTTTACTTCACTACAATTATCTGAGAGCTTAAGTTACTTTACAAATTCCACATTTTGACACAAAACAAATGAAGAGCAATAAAACATGATGTTATAAATTAAACTTCTTAAACGATTAGTCAATTAATTAATTGATTGGAGAAAGAGTTACTGGTGACTATTTCAAGAATTGTTTTTTAAAAATTCATGGTTCCAGAGGATGATTTTCCTTAATAAGTACTATTGGTTTGACGAAAAAAACATTGTGACAAACCAAACATTCAATCAGTTAATCTTGAAAATAATCATCAGATTAATCCATAATAAAAATAGTAATTAGTTGCAATCCGATACAAAATAGTTAAAAAAAATCAGCTCCACCTCAACCAACTACAACAATAAAATCCTGCTTTTACTTTAATGCATGACTATAATAATCTCTTGTTACAATATAGTACTACAGTCACATGGGCCATTTGTCTGCATTGATTATGTACTAACTTTTAACTCACTTTATTAAATAATGAACTAGTAACGTTAACTAATAAACTAACGTTAGCTAAATCGTGGCTACCAAGTCACAACATGACAAATTCCCGGTACGATTCATTTTAAACATGTTGCATAATATATGACTGTAACTTTATGTGTGCAAATAAACCTGTAAGACAGAATTGTGGTGTTATAACTTAGAGCTTATTAAGTTAGTAGTTAAAGAGCATATCGATTCGACACCGCGTCGTACTGCGTCAATATGACAACCGTTAGGATAAAGTGAGAGGCAGGTGTCTACACTATAACCTCCTCTAACTTCACCGAGTTATTGTTTGTCTCCTGGCTGTCACAGTACTATTTTCTTTGGCTGCTGAGGGCGGATGCCACTGTAGCCGGTGTGCCTACACGACTGTTAGCTCAGCGGGCAGGGCACACTAACATAAGTTAGCTGAGAGAGGAGACACACTGTTTAAACTCACATGAATTTGCTGGTAGTTCTTCTCTAATTCCTCCCATTCGCGTAAACATTCACTTAAACTCGTCGTATTGGACATCATTTTTTCTCTAACATCAGGAAACCTCCTGGAATTAAGTAATATTGAGTAATATTCACGCTCTGTCCGCTGCGCAACAGTTGGACTGCTGTCAGCGTCAAAGGTAAACCAACGAGTGTGGCTTCCGGTCAGAACCTTCAGAATAAAAGCCGTTGTGGCTACATAACTTTAGTGTCTACAACAGATGGGACGTCTGCCATTTCCCAATAATGCCCTGAATATTTCTTGATAGTTTCCTGGAAAATTTGTAATTTGAATTGAATTGTATTGAATGTATTAAAGGAATGCCCCTTGAGATGCAGCGCCTCATTTTAAAGGGGGTCCAATTACACAAATACATAATAAACAAATTTATAAACAGAACATTACATTACTATACATACAATACACATACAGATGACTCGCACATCCTCTGTTATTGCAAGGTTACAACAACCTTATGGCTTAAATTATACAATTTCTTTTACTAATTCTCTCCACCAATATCACCATAAGATCAAATGATAGAATAAAAACTTTGATCTTTAAATCTGTTCAGTGATGCATGTGACTATCTCTGTTTTTCTTTCTCAGATAATGATTGTATATATAGCCTATTTAATGAGTATCTTGTGATGATTAATGATATATTGTGGAGGAATGGTGTTAATTTCTCCAATTGCATAACAAAGACTTGGCAAGGAGCACTATAACTGTTCATGAGTACCTAAGGCAAAGTTGAGGACTAAAGGGGACAGAGTGTATATTATGGATTGACCTTCCTATTTCAACTACCCACACTGCTCTTCTGACAAATGAATTAATTGATCTTGGTTAAATATTTCATGAATTGCTTTTTTCCCTCTCTATTAATAACATGTCAGTGAGTCTGAAACAAATCAATTCCAGACAAGCCCTTTGACTTTTGTGACTTTAGGTTGTGCAATTATATTTTGTAAGTCCATGTTTATTAATAGTAATTTTAATCTATAATAACAGTAATGCTATATTCTACTACTGTGAATGAGTCACTGAATGACTTAAACTATTTTTCTTTCAAGCTGGAAACACTTCAAAGATTACAACTTTTGTGCTTTTATTTTCAAGGCCACGTAAAACGTCCGGTTTTGTCACAGCCACGACAATTCCTGCGTGCGTCGTGGTTGCTGGACGTGCTAATTTGCAGCTGATTGGTCCAATCAGATGTCTCGTTGGCGACCCCTTTACAAATCTCGCCACATTAGCAGGGTTTGGCATTATGTCCCCAGACCATGGCCCTGACTTTAACCATCTATAAAAAGAAAACAATTTCAATGACATAGATTGTGTGGTCGCTTTTATGCAAGGAGTGCGCACTGTCCCAGGTAGGGTAAGTAACAAGTCATTACATTTCTCTTACTACTTTTTACTACTTGGCATGTGACCTGTATTTTTAGACTGATATTATGTGACCCATGCACGCAGGGGAAACTGTCATCTCCAATATTGTCAGCACCTCTGACAGAGTCATGTACGGACTGAACCACAACTACTGACATTTATTCAGTAGTACACAACAGTACACAACAACAAAACAAGTAGTCTACACAATACAAAATCACTAGGGGCCTGGTACTTTGTCTTTTATTTTTGCTGCCTTGTATTTGTTAACTGTCCACATACATCCTTGAAGAGTAATTTTGAAATAATGAGAAAAATCTACAAAGCCACATGTGTAATTTTCTAGATTTAATAAGGCTAAATACATTACTCTTGAAATTCACTCAGCCTTGGAGAGCTGCAGCCTCAAGGACAGATGTCTTTGAGGATAAAAGGAAGTAATGTCCCTGTAATGTTGCTGACAATTTCATCACATAACTTTTTTTGTCAAATCACACGGCAACAAACAACAGACACTTAAGAACATCATATGTCTTTATTGCAGGAAGTGCTTATGAACTAGCCACATTATTGCCATAGCAGTTGGTGGTGCCTTTGTTAAAATTTTGGTTCAGAGATATCAGTCACTTTTGTTCCCATGGTGTGAAGCTCCCAGTCAGACAGCTGCTGTAGAAACCCCGTGTTTGGCCTCATGTTGGGTTTACATTTGAGCATGTACTTCCAGGCCTCCTGAAAAATATATATTTAATGGTCACATGTTTTCTTCCATGATCAATATCAATCTCATGTCTGTGTGTAGTTTGACATTTTGGGAAATACTCTTATTGGCTTTGTTCCTGAGATTTAGATGAGAAAATTGGTAGTGAGTATGGAGCTGGAGTCAAGACGTGGTTAGCCTAGCTTAGCACAAAGACCGCAACGAGTGGCCTGGCTCAATCACCTCTAAAGCTTACTCATTTGCGTGTTGTATCTCATTTGTTTCATTTTTAAATTAACGGAAATGTAAAAATGACAGTTTTGAGGGGAGTTTTGTGCTGTAACTATTTCTTAGTGTACAACTGTAGCACAGGTTACCAGGTTTGGTACCATCTTGTCTGACCATCAAATCTACCACCAGCCCTGTAGGTAGGCTGGACAGAGGTATAAACTTACTTTCAAAACACTCAGGAGAGTACAATTGCTTACTCATTACCATCTAGAGATCACATTGGAACTAGTAAAGGCCTACATTTTGTATGGCACATACTGCATTCTGCATCAACTGAAACCAACTGAATGAAACCCGCTTGCCTGCAGTGTGTATTTGAGGTGGTGCATGAGAAAGGCAATGGTTACAGCGCTGCAGCGGCTTCTGCCCCTGGAAACTATCAGGACACGAGAGCCCATGTTGATGTGTGAACCTGAAAACAGAAGATAGTCATGTGGCTATTAAAATTTCCAAAAACCTCTATAATATCAAGCCAATCCATGTAACAGGAACTGCGTGTTGTTCTCTATTTCTGAATTTTTTTAATGATATGCAGTTGAGATCAGATGCTTGGAGATGTTGGAAATATAGGTGTTTAACCTGAACTGAGACGCCCTACTGCATTTTACATTTACATTTGTATTCTTGATCATTGCAGTTTAGTGAGTCATTACAATTTACTAATTGTAAAACCTTGATGCCTAAAATTAATTTGTTTCCCGCTTCTATAAATGATACAACAAATATTTGTTAGGATTTAAAATAGCTTAGTCAGTAATGTACAAGTACAACTTACCGATAAAACTACATATCCTTTCAAAACTTGAGTATAAATCAGACACCACTGAGTCGGCCACAGGGATGTTGAGGATGGTCTGGTTCCCCTTTATGGATCCAGATCTAAAAGTATTCAATAGAAATTCAACAGCCATGACATATGACATTCAGAATTTTCTCTGATGATATTTCAAATATCCAGTCCTGCCATACTCCAGATTGTCGTTCTGTGAGATGCTGATTATAGTGCTGATTTTCAGGTGTTTGAGGATGCTGGAGTCCTTGACTTGTTTCTGGTCACCCAGATATAGCAGTCCTGCAGTGATCTCCACTGGATACATCTTCAGGTTTTCCAGCTCCTGAGATTGTCCAGAAATACATTATATTGTATTTATCAATTTGACTATTTGAGTGGAAATTCTATTTCATATTGTTTGTGTCACTCTTGCTTTTTTGAATGTATTTTTATTTTGTGAGTTTGAATTTGTACCCATAAAAGTTCAACATCATCGGCAGCAGGTTCTGAATTACTGCTTGATTTTGTTGGTCTGTCTTGTAAAGTTGTCCAGTGTCAAAAATTTGTTTTAACACCTGCATCATTCTAATTTATTTAAAGAAAGTGGCTGCAATATCATTCATACAGATGTTGTGTTTTTGATTGTGAACACCTGTAAAGGTTTGATCTAAATCACTGGATTTAGGATCAGACACTGGTTTCTATCCAGTCCAGTGATTTTGGATTCAACTTCTGCAGGTGTTGGACTTTGTACCACCTGGATTTTTGAGATGAACAGTGTACAAACCGTGAGGTCAGGTTTTTGTCTTACCATGATGGTGTAGAGGATTTTCTCTGTCCTTAAAAAAGGGTACAGAGCTGAGAACCTGTGAAAGCCTCCTCTCACTATGTGGACTGGATGTCGGCTAGCTTTAGCTAGGGCCTCGGCACACTCAACTGCTCTACCTGCAATCACAGTCAGAAACTTCACTCAACAGTGTGCAGACATTTGTGACTGAAATGCATACTGGGAGCCGCGCTTATAGGGAACTACTATCTTCCCTCTGCCTTCAGCCGATTACCTTCTTCCTGTAAACAGCTTGTGTTGCTGTCATAGACCACCACATGCTGCATACTGTCAACCTCCACAGCCTCTGGCAGGAGGAATGTGCCCTCTGAATCCTGGAAAGAGTCAGGCAGAAAGTTTTGATATTTCATGCATTGAATAATCCTTAAATCTGAAGGAACTAAGAAACTAAGCTGTCTGCAAGGCTTTTCTTTCAGTGTGAAACACACAACATAGCACACTTTTCAAAAGCAAAATATTTAGCGATTTCTTGTTCAAGCAGATAAAATCTTAGCATTTTATTACAATGTGTTTTATTACTTTCTGTCTAAAACCCTGTAATGAATTCCATGCCATCATTGCGTGGTAATTAGTCATGTACTTTTTTTTGTTAGAAACTGCGCTGTTGTATTAAACCTGTATTTAACTATGTATTGAAGTAGCTCTACATGGAAGACGATGAAAATTACCCTCGAATGGCTGCCTATTCAAATAATAATGTCTGTCTGAAAAGCAGAGGTTTCTATCAATTATGTCCGCTGTATACATTATGATGATGATGTGTAAAGAGTAACATACGCTGTTCTTTACACTAAACCAAGACAAATTAAGTAACAATTAATTGTAAATCCTCTTGTTATTTCCTTTTTTAAATTTAATTTTGAACTTTAAGAACATGTAAAAACAAACAAACCAGAGACAGCTACCTACAAGCTCCCGTTTCAAAACACCCACCGATGTACAATAAAAAACAAATAAATAAGTTTCCCCGATATGCTGTATCTCCAGTGTCCACAGCCGCTTTCAGTTTTTGCTACAGGTCCGTACAGGTCAGATGGACAGTATCTATTCCCTCTAAATAAAAATTGGACACCATATAAATGTGCCACTAAAACAAGGTGGGGACTTGTTTTGCTATAACAATACAACAAGTTTGATGGATCTCGTAAGTTTTAGGGTGCTCTCAGAATAACCCAAAACAGCACAGTCAGGGTCAATTTGTTTCCAAATAATTTTACTAGGTAAATTAAATATTTCCTCTCATAATATGGGAGCATTGACCTTTCATTCTCTTCATCCCCTCTTTTCCAAAGCTCAGAGATGACAAGAGGAGGTGGGCTGTGTAAGGGTATCTACAAATTGGGATATTAAATGTTTCAACTTTTGATGTTGTGACTTCAGAGACAGGGTGAGGCTTGAAAGTGCCATGCGAGCTGCTTCATAAATCAATTTAATTAGCTTTCTGTTGTAGTGGACCATATCACTGGAAAACAATGTATATAATTGTACTAATCATTTGCCAAGCATGGATTTCCTATGATGTTTTACAACAACCAAATGTCTGCCCATTTTTGCTTATGTGACAGACATGAATCACAAAACTGTGGATACAATGATATCCCTACCATTTTAACATTTTTTGCTGTTATGATGTGACTCATTATGTAATCTTGGGTTTCACGGGCATCTAGAAAAGAATCACACAATACACAAGTAAGTTATAAGTTAAATTGAAGCAGAGCAATCAAGCAAATTCAACTAATGTCAAGTGGTCACATGGACTCTAGCATTACCAAACGCTAACTAGCTGAGCAAAATCCCATCTCTTACCAATCAAACAGAGGTAGTTGATCTCTGCCAGCCTTGACACACAGCTGCACTGGTTGAGGAGGTTGTAGAGCTCAAAAGGCTCACAAATCATGATTTCAGCCATCGCAGGAAAATTGACAACAAGAAAACAATTAGCTAGAAACCAATATCAAGAGCAGATGAACATTATAATTAGCTTGACCTGTAGGGAACATCTACAAATGAGCACATTGTCCAACCAAGTTGTTTCCAAAGTACACACTTGTTGTTTGTTTGGGTTCTGTTGCTTAGCAGCTCAGCGTCTCCCCTCATTGGTGGTTAGTGGTGATGTAGAGCCTTAAAGACACAGCTATCCATTTCTGATCCATATATGTAGTTTTAGTTATGTTTGAATTATGTTTAATTCATTGTTTCAATTCAAGCTCATCGGCTGATCATCTCAGCATGTTGAATCAGCAGTTTATGTAGAGCTGGCTGTTCAGACAAGGAAAGCACTTATTTGTTTATTGCAGCTTCTTCTTATGTATAACCCCTGCTTTATCTTTTTCCCGCTCCAACAAGCAGAAAACAGCAGGCTGACATCAAAACAACTGATATTTGTACCGTTTCATCTGTTGGTTACACAAGCAAATAGACAAACTGTCTACTGGTCATTTTTGATTTTGTCAGACTGTTGAAGGATAATTTTAACTTCAGATAAACTTGAATGTATTTTTTTTTCTCCACAGAATAAGGACTGGATGTTGCCCACCATGACTCACTGGAAGCATGTTAGGAAAAGGGATCTCTCAATATCCCGTATAAACAGGAGGAATCATTAAATGTTTCCATGTTCATATCCCTTTCAATACAAACTGAACTTGTGAAATTGTGAATATATCCTTTGAGGCAAAAGACTCAAAACAATCCCACTTCTCAAGCTGTTTCAAAATGCAGCTCCAGGCTTTACACAAATTCAAAGAGACAACATCACATCACCTCTATCTTCCCTCTTTTGATGGGTTACCTGTAATTTTTACAGTTGATTGATTTAAAGAGTTTTCTGATAATCTTTAAAACACTTTATAGGAATTGCTGCTCTCCTATATCGTAGGCACAGCGTAGCCTCAGAGGCAGGACCTGCCTTGGCTGTCAGCGCCACTGGAGCTTCCTGTCTGAGGATCTAAGGTTTGGTCTTTAAAATTACCTCTCAAAATGTCTTCAAAAAAAGGACATCATTAACTTTTATTTTTCTCTTTTGTGTGTTTTCTTGTTCATTGTATTTGTTTATTGCCCTGTTTTTAAATCTTATTTAAGTGCTAACCACTGAACCGTACTCTTGTACGGCACTTGTATGACAGGAAATTTGGATTTAAAGAGTGTGTGTTGGTTTATCTGAGCCATGGGTGAAGCTGGAGCTGTTCCAGAGTGTGGCGTTGCTCAGGGCATTTGGTCAAACACGTTTGCAAGAAGTCCCGACAACCTGGAGATAAAGAAGGAGAAGACAGATGAATGTGATCCATCTGAATATGAACTAAAATGAACAGATTTGTGTCTGCTGACAGGTTTGTGAATGTGTTTTCTTACTTTTGGACAGGTTATTGCTGATTTTCAGTTTGTTTCCCAGGAACTTGGTGGTCTCAAACGGTGTTTTACTGTGGAGTGTATCAAACAGGACCACTCCCATCTGCCACACTGTGGTCGGGCCGGCCTTATAGGTACACTGACTATACCACTCGGGAGGAATGTGAGCAGATGTACCTAGAATACACAGATATAATGATAAGATGGTGAGGATGAGCTTGGTTTAAATGTTAATGTCACAGATAACTAAATTAATGAAGAGCTGTAGTTGAAGCTAGACAACTTACCGTAAAAGACCCGGTAAAATGATCCTCTCTTGACAAAACAGCTCAGTCCAAAGTCAATGAGGCGAACACGCGGGACTGCTGAGCCGGTCTCAATCAGGATATTTTCCACCTTGATGTCTCTGTGAAAGACGTTCTTATCTTGAAGTTCTATTGCTGCATCAACCAGCTGTTTCAGTATGAGCTGAGAGATAGAAAGAGAAAGAGGTGAGGGATTGGAGTGGCAGTTTCATACCTGTGACTGTTGGTTAACTGTTTGTTTCAAAGCTGACAACAACCATAAAATACAAGGAGAGACTGAAATTCTGTGGAGTGGTTGTGCTTGCCCACACTGCTTGTTTCTTGCTCCATCAGACTTCTTTTCAGTGACGTCACCATGTTAACAGATCTCAGCAATTACTTTTATTACTTAATTTTATCATAATCAATACAAATGATGGCCAAAAACTAGGAAAATAAAGTCAATGTTCAAAATGGTCTGAACTGGCACACAATGCCCGTCCTATAACCTAAACCTTTAAGAACCTGTAGGGCTTCATAAGGGTTCTAGGTTCTGCCTTGTGTTTCCACTGTGTTTTAAAAAACAGAACATTTTGGATATGCGTCACTGACAAGGTGACACCAGGACTTATGTGCAGTGCAATTCAGATATGGTACAGACAACATTAGTAAAAGCAGTCCTAATATGGGGGACAACAGTGGAAACAAAATCAGAATCCATGAAAATGGCTATATGTTAAGTTACAGGTCATGAAGTTCCTGGAAAAGGTTTAAAACACACACACACATTCACAAGGATCCTCCGTCAGCATACCTTGGCCTCCTGCTCTTGCAGGGAGCCTCCATTGACCTTGATGTATTTGTAGAGGTCCTGGGAGGGGACCGGTCTCTCCAGCACCAAGATCAGCTCCCGGTCCAGATCATACCAGTCCAGTAAGGACACGGGCGCCGACTTTCCCACTGATCCAGTTTGTCCACCAGCGAGTTTTAACATTATGGCCACCTCCACAGAGAGCTGCTTCCCATTGTTGTCCTGAAACATCATAGATGTCCATAATTAATCCATAATGCATTCAATAAGTGAATGCAGTGATGAATTCAGCAGGTTTCAACAACAAGTGGTGTTGCTCACTCACCACTTGTTTGCAGAACACTTTGTCTTTTGGTATATGTTTGATAGCAACCTATGAGACACAAACAGGACTTTGGTTAGTGCTTCCTAAACATACTGTGTGTGTGTGTGTAAGAATGTGTGTCTGACACTTACAGGTAAATTATCTGCTTTGCGATAGCCAGCAAATACAGATCCACAGCCTCCTTTGCCGAGCTGATTCTGCTGTTCATACTTGGCCTCAAATTCAGCTAAAATGACACACACACATACACAGAACAAAATTATAAACACAACACTTTTTGCTTTGTTGATTGTTGCAGCAGCTGTCCGGGTGGCTGGTCTCTGACGATCTTTGAGGTGAGGATGCTGGATGTGGAGGTCCTGGGCTGGTGCGGTTGTGAGGCCGGTTGGATGTACTGCCAAATTCTCTGAAACGCCTTTGGAGACGGCTTATGGCAGAGAAATGAACATTCAGCTCTGGTGGACATTCTGGTGGACACACAGTCAGCATGCAAATTGCACGCTCCCTCAAAACTTCCAACATCTGTGGCTTTGTGCTGTGTGATGGAACTGCATTTTTGAGGGGCCTTTTATTGTGGCCATCCTAAGGCACATCTGTGCAATACCCATGCTGTCTGATCAGCATCTTGATATGCCAGACCTGTGAGGTAGATGGATTATCTCGGCAAAGGAGAAGTGCTCACTAACAAAGAATTTGACAGATTTGTGAACAATATTTTAGAGAAATAGGCCTTTTGTGTACATAGTCTTAGATCTTTGAGATCAGCTCATGATGAATGGGGGTAAAAACAAAAGTGTTGTTAATTTTGTACAGTGTATTTCATTTGAATACAGTTGTACAGGAACATCAATTCAATGTTAGTTAAGCTCTAATATTAAAACCTAATACAAATCATCTTGCACTGAACCTTAACATAAAGCCAAACCCTACATTAATCACTACCAACTGACCTCTTTGTTCATCTATTGACAAATCTTTTGTCTCCCTCGGGTTCCATCTCCTCCTCTCCTTCATGCTTGGTTTTTCTCCATCAGCAGCTACCTTCGTCTTGCTGCTGCTGTCTACAGACAAGATTCACATTCACAGGCACTAGCATGGGCAAAAAATAATTTAGTGTCATTCAGTACCTTCCAAAATGACACATGAGAGTCTGTACCGAAAACAAATTCCACCGGATTTATCCTGTGGCTAATAAACAACCTAAACAACAATCTAAATAGAAAGATACCACCAGGGCAAGGAAGAATTTCTTTTGGGTAAACAATCAATATACTCCAGTTGATGGACATGTCTGTACTTTCTGTAATAATGAATCCACTAAATCTCTGTATCTGTGATAATGTTATACGCCCCTAAAAGTAATTTTACATGATCAACCTACCTCTGCTTGTGTCCACTGAAGAAGACGGAGACTCCCTGTCAAACTGGATAAGCTCAAATCCTTTCTTGTTCTTCTTCTTCATAATTGATGGTCGTTCTCCATATTCTCTGGCTTTCCTCTTCAGTATTCTCACCCTGAGATCCTCCTCGAAGGTGTTTTGGGGTTCAGGTTCAGACACCCTTGTCCTTCTCCTGGGTATCTTCTGGTCAGGACTGGTCTTCCTTTTAGTTCTGTTAGTCCTGCCATCACTTACAGATGCTGCACTTTGTTGAGTTGTGCTGCTAGTGGTCCCTACAATTTAGAACAACACATCAATAGTCTCTGACTGTATTAAATTGAAATTTCTATAAACGCAAGAGACAGCAGGTTTTTGCCTGGATTTCTCACTTACGTTGATCTCTCCTAAGGGCCGGAGAGGGGCGAATCTTTATCTTCTGTGCAGAGTCTTTGTCCATGATGATGAAAGTATATTTAAATATGATAACGTAAGAGTAACGAGTGAATGTAGATCCAAACACTTGTATATTTGAACAGGTTTCCCAGTGGGACTTACTAAAGGTTTGGTGAACTGAACACAGAATGTGGTGATTTCTTTCTTGAGTTCAGCAACATCACAATGAAGTGTTCTGGAATATGCAAATGAATCTTTAGTATACATTTTATGTGGGGGTTTTCCACTGAAGGTCATTAAGTCACAACTCAAATGATTTGTACAATACAAGCATATAGGCCTGATGCTTGATATCAAGTCTTTCACTCCTGACTTTCCTACCTACCTAAAATGCCCTCATGTTGTTTTTATGAACTGTTCATATTGATCTAAAAGTGAAACACTTGGAATGAATGAAAAATTAATAAATATTGATTGAATATTTTTGGTATTGCTAGTGGAATGGCAATTTTGTTCTGACAACTACTAGATGGATTCCCATGAGATTTTGTACAGATAATCATGATCCCCAGAGGATGAATCCTACTGGTTTTGTTGATCCCTTGAGTTTTCCTCTATTGCCACCAGCAAGTTTTGGCTTTTTAGTGAAATAGTTCAACAAGTTTTAGACACATAGCCATGAACGTTTGTACAGATATTCTTGGTGCCCAGACGATCTATCCTACTGGTGATCTCCTGATCTTTCATCTAGCATCACCATGAGGTTGGTATTTGTAGTTTTGCACACGCACATGAAGGTGACACAATACACATCCCTGCCAAGTGTTCCACTGATTGTCAGGTAGCTGTTATGTTTCAGAAATGAAGCAATGTGCCAGCAAATGGCAGGGAAGAAGACTGCTAACAAGTAAAAATGGATGTGAAACAAAATATATTTTCAAAATTGGCTTTGCTATTAGAAATCTATTAAATACATTTGTTAGATGTCAAAGATATACACAATGTAAGGCATACTTTAGTTCAGTTTTTGAAGTGAGGGAAGGCATCCACCTGCAGAGTGAGCTCTTGTGTTTAGCTAATGCTAACTAGCTGGTCTTACTGTTTGCTCCAAACAACAGAAGCATGAAATGCATCACTTTCTGTGTGTCAAAATGAAAAACATATAAACTCAGCAACAGTTCACATGTTAGTGGTGTCGAAGGTGGTGTCAGTTTGGTTGACAGACAATTGGCAATGTGGACATTCATGGACCCTTGAGTATGATTGCTAATAATATTGGTGTCCCCTCAATCTTTCCACAACCATCAGGACAAAATGTACCTTTGAGCAACCCTCGAGTCCATGAAACTGTGTCTTGAACGCCAATGGCCTTTTTCTCATGACATGATTGGGTGAGCCCTTGACCTTTCCTCTATCACCAACATTGGTCCAAAATATCTGCTTTTACATAGCAAATATCAAATTTTAATGGCCCCACAACTGGCAAAGCTGAAAGTAAGCAAAATCATGTTACACAACAATAATGCACTCATAGTGTAAGATGATGAACAATGATGCCCCTAATGACTGTGTTAAAGTTTTTGTTCTGTTAATGAACATATCATATGTTATTATAACTGTTGCAAGCAAAACTTAAAGCTAACTAAACTTACAAAACGGACATCCAGACACACACACACACACACACACACACACTTTTGTCCTGCTTCTCCACTGGCTTTTGAGAACAACATGTACTCAGTCCCAGCAGAGCCTGAATGAAAGACTGTGTTCTCCGCCCAGCTCAGAGTCACAAATCATGCTGGTTGTCTGGAGGAAAACAAAGCTTAAGACCCAAGATGAAGGCAGAGAAGGAGGCTCCTTCTAAAGCCAAAATAATTTCCCAGATTTTATTACTCATGTGTCTTGGTTCCTTCCATTCAGGTATGTCACATTTTCTACTAAAGAATTTGCTTTAAAATTTGCTGATATAAATAGATCACATCGTTTTGCCAAACAATGGTCTGATGTTTCACTAGCATGTTTATGCGTAGTGTTTGGAAGATTTTGCAAAGATTAAGTTTACACAGAGTTTACGTAGTTCCAAATAAAATGATTAAAGTAGTCTGTCTTAATTAGTTTTTTGTATGTTTGTTTGTTTGTTTGTTTCAGGACGAGGGAATAAAAAAATACCCTTTGCTCCTTGCTGATGCAGCAACTTTCTGGATGAAACAATCAGAGGGTCTTCCCAGTAGATTATTGGAATAAACACTCAAATGTTCAGTATAATCCACAATTACTGAGACAGCTGTGCTTTCACAATAATGGCTGCAGGTTGTAAGAAAATGCTAAAAGCATGAGCTAACTGGATGTTCAATAGAACATGTACATGCTTTGAAACAATATGATATGATATTGGTTTGGGGTAATTTTTGCTGTTGTATGGATAATATTGTAACATGTTTAATGTTACCAGAAATTACGTGGTCAGAAAATATAGTTAAAATGACAACACTCTGAAAACTGAACATTATAGATGTCACAAAGGTAGTATTTGTTGTGTGGGTATTGGATCGCATTAGATTGTGTGGGTGCTTTTACAGGCTTGTGCCCACCCTTTGTAAGTAACAGAGTACTTGCACCTACAGGCTGTACCAGAACCAGTGTTTCCAGATGTTTAGGTATTTTCAGCTGTGTCTTATCACTGTCCTGCTATTGTTGTGGATAGCAGCAGAGTCACTGAGCTGCTCTGTTTCTGCAAAGCTAGCATGGCAGCTGGATTGCTCCCAGTGTTCTTTTCATGAACTGCCAAGAAGGAAATTTGAACAAACAATCCCCACTTTTGTTGGCTCATGCGGGCCCATCCCAAGGACTGACAGCTGTTACCATGGTAATGTGGATCTGCCATGCAAACTTGCTCTAGTTTACAGCTGTGATGGGGCGGATGCCCACACTAGCCCTCAGCTAACTACTTTGTCACTCACTGTATTTGCAAAAACAAGAACATGCATCACGAATAATGAAGACTATTTACATCTTGCTGGGGTGCAAGAACTGTTAATAATAATTGTTTCTACAGCTATTGCAATAGAAAATTACAAAATTGTTCAAATTACATTCATGTTGGATGATTCGCAATGTACTGGCAAATGCCAACATTCAGTGCCAATGCAGGAAGTGCTGTGTCCTGAATGTAAGAGAGTGGAGGCATGTATAGCTTATCTGAACTGTATGCAGTAGAAAATTAATTAATGAGCATTTAAACCTTCATGAAGGTAGGTTTTATTGCAGGACTGCATTCGTTTTAGAGTGGTGTACCTAAAGAACTGGCAAATGAGTCAATATGAACATGTCAAGCATCCAGCCTAAAAACTTTAAATCCTTTTTCTCAACTTCACAGTTTCTGTAGTTACTGCTCTGCCTTCTTGGGCCGATTTCAGTAGAGCTGCTGCAAGAGGGATGTATCATGGGATGTTGGCTTTCACCAAAATTCTTATCAGACAATCACAATATAAGGTTAAAAAACACTGTGGTATAATTTCACTTGTAGAAATGCGATGTTGGAAAGTGTGGAAATCTAACACGGGCACCTGGTTTCTGTTTTTCTCTGCAGGTGGAGTACTGGCAGTGAATATGACTATCCCCAAAACTCTCATTAGAGGTACAGTAGGAGGGGAGGCCCTTTTGTCTGTCAGCTACAGTAGTTTCAGCCTCGACCTGCCGGTCATCAAGTGGCAGCTCAAGAGGGAAAAGTCTGTCACTGTTGTCCAGTCGATTGGAACTGACATCATTGGGACCCTGAGGCCGGAGTATCGTGACCGCATCCTGGTATTTGAAAATGGGACTTTGCTTCTCCACAACATCCGGCTCTCTGATGATGGAACTTATGATGTGGAGATCTCAATCACAGATGATTCCTTCACAGGAGAGGGCAGCATCACACTCACTGTGGATGGTAGGAGGACAAATTCAAAATGTATATGTAAGGGTACATTCATACCTATTTCTCGTCAGTATAAACGTCAGTATAAACGAGTGTCATAGAAAACATCTGTTAATTTAGACTCTAGTCCAACTTAAGTCCTAAGTTTGATGAGTGATCACTAGAGTCAGATTAAAACACTGACTCTTGACTCATGGGCTATTAAAATAAAACATGTCCAGTGTCTCATTTATAATCATACAAGCCACAGCCAATAGCTGTTACTTGAGGGCAGTGATGCATATATGTTTGGGGGGTGGTGATGGCATAGATAAGATGCTTGCCTTTGGTGTGGGAGACCTGGGTTCAATTCCCACTGTGAGACATCTACCATTGTGTCCCTGAGCAAGACTCTTAACCCCTAGTTGCTCCAGAGGTGTGTGACCTCTGACATGCATAGCAGTTGTAAGTCGCTTTGGATAAAAGCGTCAAATGTAATATTTCATGGTCCATGGGATCCTGTAGACCTGCAATTACCCTATAATGACCCCAACCCCCAAACACAATCCTCTGCTCTGTTCAGGAGTCTTGAATGATGGCAGCTTCCAGAGGTTAGTTTATTAGTTTGATGCCCCATCCTGAAAGTGAGATTCCATATTTCCTGGATGGATACCAACTATCAGTTTTCTGCTGCTGGCTCAGCAAATTAACCTTTGGTGATGGTGATTGTAGGTATAGAGATAGGTCAAGGAAAAACTAGCTTAAAGGTTAAAACTAGCTTCCTCAATAACT